GCTCAGCAGGGGCTTTGGACTCACGGTAACGGGATCGAGTTAATACAATCTTTGCTACTTGTCTGGACCGAAGATTATAACTATGTTTAGGCTGACCTACATCCCACTACCACGGATGACCACCCACCCCCCAACTACAAACAACCCCACTGTGTAGAGCGTAAGACCGCTCTACACCATGAATAAGCCCAAAGTAAAGAGCGTTAAACCGCTCAGCAAGGGCTTTGGACTCACGGTAACGGGATCGAGTTAATACAATCTTTGCTACTTGTCTGGGCCGAAGATTATAATTATGTTTAGGCTGACCTACATCCCACCACCACGGACGACCACCCACCCCCCAACCACAAACAACCCCACTGTGTACAGCGATCTGAAATCCTATGTGGAGCGAAGGCAAATACTATTTTCACCATATCTTGCACGTAGCTAATTCAATACTATGTAATACTCGGAGCAATCTCGCCACACGTATTTTATATGTAAAATACATAGTAAATTTGTGGGTGGTTACAAACTGCCCTGTATGCGAGCAAAATTATAATAGACAGTAGGCAATATATGTAAAATACATAGCCTATAGGCAATATATGTTTTTCTTTTTTTTTTGAGAAATATATGTATTTTGTATTTTAAATATATTTTAACTGCTTTGGCCAATTCTACATCATCTGGCGATCGGCTTTTTGGCGACCCTGACATTCGTTTAACGGAAATTTAAAATTTATCAGTGAAGTTTTATCAGTAAAAAGTTTTTCTATTCGTTACCTTAGATGTTTAGCTATGCTACAGAATGTAGCTCTCCTAAACAAATCAAGATAGCCTAATCTGCGCTGTTTCCGGGAATCAGGTGCAGTGGACTTTTTATTCTTCGCCATGGTGCGTCAGAAATTCGTCCCTGATCCGTAAGGTGGTGAACACTACTGCTGAATTTTTTTTTTGCCGCAAATTCTGGCATCTTCTCAGCAAGCATTTAGGCAACAGTTCTCAGAAACCGGGCTGGAGAATATAAGAAATTACGAGATATAAGGTATCGAATATGTCCAAGACAAAAAAACTCCCGGGTTCACTATGGTGCAAATATACCGGCCTGAACAAAAGTTCGACTTCGTCAGTACAACAGGCTGCAAGCATACATTAAACATAAACATGTATGCGCATGAAAATGAAGGAATCAAGCAACAATAAAATACCCAAATTGAACAAACAAACAAACAAAAGAATAAGTAATAACAGAAAGAGGCAAATATTCGATGCTTGCAAAGCTGTTAAAATTACCGTTATACATATATACCTTACCATTCGTCTTGGTCAAACCTGTAGAAAAGGAAGTCTTCTTACACTTGATTGTCATATATTCGACGTAATTTCTCTTTCTTGCCTTTATTGAAATGCTTCTTTGAGAGATGTGCTTCCGTGGGATTTAGTTTGACGCCAGTGCGAATACTACGAATGTGTGCTTGATTGCTTGTGCCACCAAAGAACTGCTGATCCAGTGAAGAATCTGAGATCTTCATGTCTTCCAGTAGATGGCGCTTTTCAAGCTAAAAGAAAAATATCACGAAAATGCATAAGAAATCAAGAAACTAGGCCAAAATTCAAAAAAAGATTGAAATTACGAGCTAACGATCAGATTATTTAAAGCCTAACTATACTGCGTGATCGAGAATACAGGGCTGACTTTTTCAGATGGACGCATCGCTGTCAGAATCAACAAGAAAACGCCTCTAAGCGCTAAATACGGTTAAGAACCAGCAAGCACGAATTGGTATACATACCAGGTTAAAAAATGGAGCATGCCAGAGTTTTTTCCGTGCTTCGAGCACGGAAAAAACTCTGGCATGCTCCATTTTTTAACCTGGTATGTATACCTCTCTCCCTATTCGGATGTCTGTTCTAATTGCTAATTTCGGCTATGCATAACGGTTCAGTTTAGCAAAAACGATGTCACGTTTATCACGAACAAAAATTATTAAAAATTTTAGTTAAAATACTCCCTTCTTAAGCATTTTAAACTTAAGCAATTAAAATAATTTTTTTTTTTTAAATAAATACATTTTGAATCCTAAAAATTGCATAAAATTGCATGAAAAATTGCATAAAACAATACATAAAAAAATAAAAATAAAATCTCAAGCATTAAACTAATAACTGAACGACCATCAATACATTTTCAGGTCATTATAAAACATTTTGAGACTCTGCTCGTCTGCTTAAAACACCAATCATTCTGTTATTAGCGAAACCAACCAACCAATTATATCCCCTTGTCATCCCCATAAACGCATGTCACGGACACGCGTAAAAAAGTTGGTAGAAATTGGGAAGTAAGCAATGCTTGTGGCGGCAAAGCTAGATATTTATAAAGTATATGTAAAACAGCTCTACGTACGCAGCTAAATCCCATTTCTTAATCCAGGCTGGAACGTACCAGGCTTGCCAGTGCGATCACGCGTTTTTGCACCGGACTTGAACTACTCAGGTCATTAACTTCGTGAATAGTTGTTGCTTTGCACCTACCTTTCGCGTTGACTGGCGTAAATCGCCGTAAATTTTGCATAAAGTAAATGTAAAATTTTATTTAGCGGTCTTTCTTTGAAGTATCCTAGCTGTTCAGTAAACAGTTTTCCCGCCAAAACTTTCAGGTGTCCGTACGTGAGGATCACATACCTGCAGGCTGAATTTGAAATATTTAAGTTGTACTTGGATAAGGAGCATCCCCTTAAAATCTCAGCTTTCTAACTTTTCTGGGTACCGAGTTAACAGTTTTCCCGCCAAATCTTTCACGCTCCCAGAGCCACGCATATCTGAGGGCTGAATTTGAAATATTTAACTTTTACTTGGATAGGGCACATTACCTAAAATTTCGGCTCTCTAGCTTTTTTGGCTTCGGAGTTAGAAATTTTCCGCCGAAACTTCCGTACGCCCTTACGTAAGTACCACTCATGTTTGGAGGCTGAATTTGAAACCTTTAGCACAGACATGCACAAGAGTGATATTAAATGATATTAAAACGGGAGGGTCGAGCATGGTATGGGAAATACTCCCAAAGTTTCAGCTTTCTAGCTTTTCTGGTTCTCGAATTGAAAGTGGATGATAAAAAGTACGGACACGTAGAGATACAGTCTCTTGCCAATATGCCTTTTTGCAACATGCATATATGCAAAAATGCATAAAAATGAAGTAAACAGGCTGATAGTGTATTAGTTAACATTTTACATAAGAAATTCAAAAAAAAAAGATTGCCAAAAGTATCGCAAACATTTTCCAGTTCATCGATCATATTTTCCAACACAGTCTTTCTTTTTTATGCAAAATTTTGAATATAAGAAAAACCGTACCTGCTGCATTACGCCGCTGGAAGTGTTTGTTTTAGTTGTTTCAGTGATTTCACCGTACGTTAGCTTATCGAATTCTTTCTGGTCCACATCTGGTGGTGCAGCAACCCATTTCAATTTTCCAGTTACTACATCTTTCAAAATGAGACGTGCGGCACGTGAACAATCTGCTACACCGGATGATGACATGTATCCTGAAATTTAGCTTTTTAGGCAAATCCTGAATCGCTAATTTGAGTGCAGTTTGTTAATGTTCCCCCACTCACCAGACTAGTGTAAAAGAGCATTCTAGAAGCATGCTTAACACTATTTCCCACAATAACTGTTAGGTAGTCTTGCTTTTGATATACTGGCCCGGCAAGATCACCAAAACCGTTAAACTGGTGGCGCTGAAAAGCAGTTTCAAACGCCAAATGCAGCTCTGCCAAGCCTTCCCCTTTTAGGCTATTTGCTTCAAAGCCAATTTTTTACCTACTGGAACCAGCAACAAAGAAAACCAAATCCAATTACTCTGTTTTCCACGTACGTAACCGCTCTCACATCATCTTTTTTAAAGTACTATCTTTTGTATGTCCCATTAACCCCTCCTCCTCCTCTTTTCTCCTCTCTGTTTCTTGGCTTTTCTGCTTTTTATTTTCTAACAACCCACTTTCCACTTGCAGTCTCAGCTATGTAAAAGTAAACTTATTCTCTAATTTGTGGGCGAGAGGCTGTACTGATGATTCCCATTCCTAACCTGCATCCAATATTTTGTGTTTTCAGCTAAGGGAAGAAACACAGACTGCAAAATTACGGGCTCTTTCACGGCATGTCGCAACTCCGTCCTTGCAGATCTTACATTTTTTATGCGCAAAGCACTATCTCTGTTCGCCTGATAACCTCCCAACTTCCAATTAACAATCGCTGTTTGCGACTTACATTCAAATAATAGTAATAGTAATAATAATAATAATAATAATAGTAATAGTAGTAGCAATAATAATAACAATAATGATAACAATAACAATAATAATTATAATAACAATAGCAATAACAATAATGATAATGATAATGATAATAATAATAACAATAATAATAATAATAACAATAATAATAGCGATAATAACAATAACAATAATAATAATAATAAATAAGACCTCGCATAAAAGCGACTGCAGTGAGAAGGTCATGCGCGCTAATCGGCGTTTCTTCACTGTCACAACTGTCGGCAATACCCGTCAGCATAAGTGAATATGTCTTTTCGAAACATTCTCGTGGGATTCTCGTTAACAGAAGTGCAACGGGTGAGAAATAGTCGTGCATGTGGTCCACTGAGAGGATTCCATTTAAAATCATTTCACTGCGACTTAGCACAAACGATGGCATTACGAGACCTGGGCAATCGCATAGAACGAGCTGAAAAAAGCATGATAAGGTGGGAGATTCGCTGCTTCAAGACAAGCAAAAAAGATGATGCAAAAAAATTTAAAACTTTTAAAGATCAACAAACTTTGAAGAATCATTTGCCAGTAATAAAAATCAAATCTAGAAATCCCTCAAAAACGTTATATGTGAGTTTGGCTTTGACTGCAGCTTGGCAGGGCCATATCCTTCCAGCTTATATTTTCAACAACTGTCGATAGAAGTCAACAATGTAAAGGCATGGCTGTTGTTTTCAGTACTTCTACCT